AAAGGAATGAAGCACTGACATGTGCTGTGGTATGGCTGATCTTTGAAAGCATTAAGCTAAGTGAAGGAAACCAGACATGAGAGACCACATATTATATGATTTCATTCATATAAAATATCCAAAAACAGGCAAATCTATAGAGGCAGAAAATAGATCCAGGTATTAGGGGAAAGGTGGAATGAGCAATGACTGCTAATAGATCCTGTGTTTCTGTTTGGGATGATGAATATGTTCTAAAATTAAACATTGGTGATGGTTGCACAAGTCTGAGAATGTACTAAAATCCATAGAATTGTGAACTTTAGAAGGTTAATTTTATGGTATGTGCATTATATCTCAATAAAGCTGTGATTAAAACAACCACATGAAGCTACCAATTTAAAAAATAGTTTGTCCTTCACCTTTGTTTTGTTTTTAGTTATTTATTTAAAAAATTATGGTAAAATAGACTACAAAAATGTACTATTTTAACCATTTTAAAAAAGATTTTATTCATTTATTCACGAGAGACAGAGAGGCACAGAGACACAGGCAGAGGGAGAAGCAGGCCCCATGCAGGGAGCCCAATGCAGGACTCGATCCCAGGACTCTGGGATCACGCCCGGGGCCGAAGGCAGGTGCTAAACCGCTGAGCCACCCGGCTTCCCTATCCAATTTTTTTTAAAAGATTTTATTTATCTATTTATGAGAGAGAGAGAGAGAGAGAGAGAGAGAGAGAGAGGCAGAGACACAGGCAGAGGGAGAAGCAGGCTCCATGCATGCTTCTCCATGCATCCATGGATCTGGGGACTCCAGGATCACACCCTGGGCTGAAGGCAGATGCTCAACCACTGAGCCACCCAGGCATCCCTTAACCATTTTTAACTGTACAGTTTAGTGTTCATATTGTCATGTAACCCTCACCACCATCCATCCACAGATCTTTCTTCATCTTACAAAACTGAGACACTACTGTCCTCATTAAATACTAGCTCCCTATGCCTTCCCTCGCCCAACCGCTGGCACCCCCCATTTTATTTTCTGTCTCAATGAATTTGACCACTCTAGGGAACTCCTATAAGTGGACTCATACAGTATTTGTTCTCTAATAATGGGCTCATTTCTTCTAGTGTAATGACCCCTGATTCATTCATGTTGTAGCATGTGCCAGAATTTCCTTTTTAAGACTGAATAAGATTCTATTGTATGTACAAATTACATTTTATCTGCTCATCCACCTATGGACACTCAAGTTGCTTCCATGCTTTAGCTATCATGAATAATGCTGCTATGAACGTGGGTGTGCACGTGGGTGTCCCTGCTTTCAATTCTTTTGGGTCTGTACCTAGAAGTGGAATTGCTGGATCATATGATAATTCTATTTTTAATTTTTAAAAAAGATTTTATTTATTTATTCATGAGAGACACAGAGAGAGAGAGCAGAGACAAGCAGGCTCATTCAGGGAGCCCGATGTGGGACTTGATCCCAGAACTCCGGGATCACACCCTGAGCCAAAGGCAGATGCTCAACCGCTGAGCCACCTAGGCATCCCTATTTTTAATTTTTTGAGGAACCTCTATACTATTTTCCACAGTGGCTGTGGCATTTTATACTCCCATCAGGTTTACACATGGGTTCTGATTTCTCTACATCCTGGCCAACACCTGTTATGTATGTAAAATGATGTTTCAGGGGCACCTGAATTGCTCAGTGGTTGAGCATCTGCCTTTAGCTCAGGTCATGATCCTGGAATGGAGTCCTGCATCAGGTTCCCTGCAGGTAGCCTGCTTCTCCCTCTGCCTATGTCTATGCCTCTCTCTCTCTCTCTCTCTGTCCCTCATGAATAAATAAATAAAATATTTAAAAATAAAATGAAATTATGTTTCACTGTGGTTTTCTTTTTCTTTCTATATTTTTAAATTCTAGTTAATATATAGTGCAATATTGATTTCAGAAGTGGAATTTAGTGTCATTGTAGTTTTGACTTGTTAAATTTCTTTCATTTTAAGTACTTTACAAATGTAAGAATTTTAATTGCATAAAGAACAAGATCTTAATAAGGTCTTAAGTAGTTCTATAAAGCTAACATATTTAATTTATAGACATGAAAAACTTGAGTTCTATTTTAAGTATAAATACTGTCTAGTACCCTGTTGGTCCCTCTAATCCATTTACTATTTGTGTTAATTCTGAGCTCCCTTCTCATAGGAGTGACCCCCAGTGTTTTCTCAGTGTTTTTTCCTGTTTTTATAGTTTTTAAAAAATATTTTATTTATTCACGAGAGACAGAGAGAGAGAGAGAGAGAGGCATAGACACATGCAGAGGGAGAAGCAGGGTCCCCATAGGGAGCCTGATGTGGGACTCAATCCTTGGACCCCAGGACCACAACCTGGGCCAAAGGCAGATGCTCAACCACTGAGCCACACAGGTGCTCCGTGTTTTTCCTGTTTTTTCCTGACTCTGTCATCACAGCTGTCTGGGTCCTTCTAAGGACACCTGGATAGAAACGGTACCCGGAAGGATATATACAAAATGTCAACAGTCAATATATATGGATAATGAGATCACAGCTGATTTCTGTTTTCTTCTCTAGACTTTTTTGCATTCTCTGAGTTTTTCAAAACAATAATTAACCATTTATTCAATAAATATTTATTGGAGGATTGCTCTGTGCGAGGCACTAAGCTTGGTGCTGGCAAGAACAAGACAGCCATGGTCCTTGCCCTTATGGAGTTTACAATCTGGCAGAAAAGGCAGATGTTAAATAAGGAAGACAGTAATGATGTTAAAATGTGCAAAGGGCCTTGGTTTTGTTTCTAAGAGCATGTAGCCTAATCTGGAGGGGTCATGATGGAGAGGGCTTCCTGATATTGGGGATGCTTACCTGGGACCTGCAGGGTGAAACACATTTGCCACCATAGAGGTTGATGAGGGAGGACAGTGAGCCATGGATTCATCCCCTTCCCATGCTGACACATCTGACCCTCCTGGCACCAGACAGACTTCCCTAAAATGCAAATTTGCACTCATTACTTAACTCAAAATTCTACTGAGAAATCATCAAGAACTATTAACAATACTCACTTTTGGGGAGAGAAATGGACAGAGGGAATCTTTTTTCATTTTGTGACTTTCTGTCTATAAAACCTTTAAAACATTTTAATGAGAGAGTGGAGGTTGCTTCACTAGCCTTTCACATCAGGTTTTATGCTTGAGATGGCTGTGCCCAATTCTTGTTTTTAATGATGGTTCATTTGAATCTAAGAATCCTTCATACTCCATCAATGCAAAATTTCATTTGTATAGGTAGCTGGTAGCCAATGACAGAAGACTAGCACTTTTTTTTTTTCTTGGTGGATCTTTCTTTCTTGCCATTGATCAGCATATGGATATTTCTACCACTTCAGATGGTTTTCTTCCATGGCATTATCTTTCAAATCCAATGGCTCTGCATCTTCTGTCATTAATAATTGTAATGTTGAGGGGCACCTGAGAGGCTCAGTCAGTTAAGCATCTGTCTTTGGCTCATGATCCCAGGGTCCTGGGATGGAACCCCATGTCAGGCTCCCTGCTCAGTGGGGAGCTTCTCCCTCTCCCTCTGCTGCTCCCCTGCTTGTGTTCTCTCTCTCTCTCTCTCTCTCTTTCTGTCAAATAAATAAAATCTTTAAGAAAAACAACTGTAATGTTGAGATTTCTTAGGATATTAATGGATTTCGACTTTGATCAGGCTTCTTCATAACAGCAAGTGTTGGGGACAAGGTGCCAGCCTGGTTTGCTTTGGCCCTGTTGGTTCATCTGATAACTTTTCCAGGTATTTAAAACATTTTGACTGGGGAAGAACAGAATTAGCAGTATGTGCAAACCCAACTTGTGGTAAATCTTCTTCAAGTCAGCTCATTTAGTCATTTAAACATTTAATTTTTTAATTTTTATAATTTTAAATATTTATTTATTTTGAGAGAGAGAGAGTGAGCAAACAGAGAGAGTGGCAGAGGGAGAGAATCTTGAAGCAGACTCCATCCTGAGCATGAAGCCTGACTTGGGGCCCAATATCATGAACCATGAGATCCTGATCTGAGCCAAAACTAGGAGTTGGATGTTTAACCCACTGAGCCACCCAGGTGCCCCAGTCATTTAAACTTTTTATTTTTTTTTTATTTTTTTTAAGATTTATTTATTCATTCATTCAGAGAGAGCGAAGACAGAGGCAGAGACACAGGCGGAGGGAGAAGCAGGCTCCATGCAGGAAGCCCGATGTGGGACTCGATCTAGGGTCTCCAGGATCACACCCCGGGCTGAAGGCGGTGCTAAACTGCTGGGCCACCAGGGCTGCCCTGAATGCCTGACTCTTGAAATTAGCTCCTCCGTGCTCAGCAGGGAGTCTACTTGAGAGTCTCTCCCTTCCCCTCAGGACCTCCTCCCCTCTGTGACTGTGCGTGCATGGGCTTGGGCATGCACATGCATTCTGTCTCTTTCTCAAATAAATCTCTAACGAAAAAAAAGAATTGCTTGCTCCTCTGACTGAGCCAGCCAGCCAGTGTCCCTTATCAAAACCTTTTTATTTACTTATTTTAAAGATTTATTTATCTTTTTTTTTTCTTCAGAGAGAGAGCACAAGAAGGGGGAATAGCAGAGGGAGAAGCAGACTCCCTGCTGAGCAAGGAGCCCAATGTGGGGCCTCTATCCCATGACCCTGGGATCATGACCTGAGCCGAGGGCAGATGCTTAAAACCACCCAGGTGCCCCCAAAAATATTTTTAAACTTAGATTTTCTGAAGCAGTCAAGGTTTATAGTCCACTTTGATGTACTTCTTTACTCGAATTATGTTCAATGATTATGTTTTCAAAAAAGGGATTCTTATTTGTAAAAACAACCATAATAATTCATTGATTCAAACAAGAATCAAATATTGGTTAATTGTTAATACCTAAAGCTGATAAATAACAAATAATAAATGAACAAATTCAAAGCAAGAATTAGCAATTGAGAAACTTAGTGAAATTTATTATATTCTTTCTAAATCTAACATCAGACACTAGTAACAAAAACATGAACACAGCAATAATTCCATATGTCTTCTATGTTAGAAAAACTTAGATGTAGGAAAAAAATATACATTTACATGTCCACACTGAACAGAACCTCAGTCGTAACAAGTGGGCGCTGTGACTTTTCAGAAATTCAGGAGGCTCTTCTTCATACAGTACCCCATGAAGGCTTTCTGGTCATGGTCTCAAGCATATGTCCTTAAAACGACCATTACCAAACTGAGGAACAATATCAGGGACTACCAACAGGTGCTATGTCAATGGTGCTCAGATTAATAGCCTGGACACACCTATCCACCACACACCTATCCACCACTTGCCATTGGAAGCTCTCTGCTCATTCTTGGCTTTTTATAGTCTTGGGCATCCACCCTGTGATCTGGACAGATGGATGCAGCTGGCTCTGGGCTGCAGGCCAGAGTGCTGGTTGGGTTGTCTACAGGCACTGCAGAATGTGGCCTTGTCCTGTGGCTACTAAGAGCTGAAGCAGAGACCACATGGTCTGACGAGAGCCACTGCAGAAGAGACGAAAACCTTGCGGAGGCAGTCTGGGGGATGTTTTCAGCCATCAAGTCATCATTTTAGGTTAACCATAGAAAAAAGCTTGAAAAATACTTCTAGCATAAACATTTCCAAACATCCAGAAGTAGGAAGTACAAGGAACACCCTGCTTCAACCCTGGCACTCACTCTTTGCACTTTTCTAGTATTTTAAAGCAAATTCCCCAATGTTTTCATTCCTAAATACTTCAACTTACATCTTTTCTTCTTCTTCTTTCTTCTTCTTTCTTCTTCTTCTTCTTCTTCTTCTTCTTCTTCTTCTTCTTCTTCTTCTTCCTTTCTTCTTTTTATTTAAAGGGACACTGGCTTATATAACCCAATGCCACTGCCAACTTAACAAAATCAACAGATTCCTTAATATTTATTTAAAACTCATTCTTTATATTCAAATGTCCCTGATTGTCCAATACATGTCTTTTCTCAGTTGGTTTATAAGTCAAGTGATTCATTTGCCTTATAATATTTCCATATCACAGCACTATCGTTGCTTTTCCATTAGACGGTCAAGTGAGGTGCCATAGCATTTCCTTGGCAAGATCCCTCACGTTTCAAAATGTGAGAAAGTTGTGAAGAGAGGCAGGGCCATTCAGAATATAGTTGTGGTTCCAAAGAAATCACACTGTGCCTTCTACTTTTGTCATTTCTGATAGAAGTGAGACCAATCCATTCTTTGTGGTATTTTCACTGATGTTTCTTTTTTTGTCATGAGCCATCTTCATTCTGGGCAGGGAGAGGCACAAAACAAGCTGTGAGTGGAAAAGTGAGAGCTTCATGGATGGAAGGGCTCTGTCACTGCCCTGAGAAGGAGGGGCCTGCTGGGCCCAGGCGGATGAAATGGAGAGGCACAGCTGCCCCCAGGGAGGTGCTCCCAAGCCAGCCCAGCCCATCTGGAGCAGAGCCCCACTGCCCCACCGACCTACTGACCAAGCCCAAGACAAGGAACCAGACAAGGTTCAGATCAGCCAAACCACAGACAAAGGATCCCACTTGAAAAGAAGTGTTCAATGAATAGATTAGATGACCATCTTCCTTCAAAATAAACAGCATGGCTGAAATTCATCTGGAGTAACAGACTGACCTCATCTGGTCACCACACGTGGTTTTGCAGCCATAGGTTAGGTGAGAGGAGGGACTTCAGCCGTGTGACAGATCCCCTCCACATACAAAGTGATGGCATATTTAATAAAAGGAGACTATGGCAGAATTGTATATGGCCTCCCGCGTGATTTACCTCCAAATGCTTCATAGGGCTCTCAGACACTCACCACCAAGTTTAATAAACCTGAAGCGATTACTGTATTTCAGGTGGATGGTCAGGAGCAGTGGGAGCTGCCCCAGAGTCCTGACACGGGCCAAGGGAGTGCCCCAGTCCTGCCGGGGCAGCAAGGACCCCACTGACCCATTCTCACTGGTCCATCACCACAGGCTATGAGGACTTTCTGACATGCTGGAGAGGGAGCAGGAAGGGTCCTACCTCTTCTCTGTCTCCTGGATGGTGTCCAGCAATGGCTGGTTGTTAGTCTCTGTCAAAAAGGAGGCTGCTATAGCTGCCAGGATAGGCATGAGGCCAAACATCACAGGCTGTAGCACTGGGCTATGGCTTCCTAGGATGTAGACGAGGGGAGCCAAGAGGGAGCCCAGGCGTGTGCTGAAGATCCCGGCACTCATCCCTATCTGCCTGTGGTGAGAGAGAGCATAGGAAGGGTTAGGACCTTACATGCACGCTGCCATAATTCAAGCACCTGCAACAAGCCTGGTAGGATTTGGTGAATGAATAAATGGAACTGGGCCCTGAGTCTCTGGGCTGGTGCACCGAGAGAAGGCTGAGTGGCAAAGGGCCAGATCTTGGTATGGGTCATGTAGGGGTACATCACAGGGAAGAGAACATTCATCTCAGATGTGGCCCTGTATGTAGGATGCTTATTGGGAACCATAACAATGGTGTAAAAATTGACAGCTAATACTAACTGAGCACGTACTTCATGCCAGGCACAGTACTTGATGTCCTCGACTTCTTGATTTCCTACCACTATCTAAGATATTTACATTTTTCTGAAGCTATAGAAACTAGACCGTTTATGGGAGTGCCTGCCGTGCTCTAGTCATTATTCCAATAGCAAAGTGCTATGATAACCAAAATCACGTTAAAATAGTGACATGAACCTACTACTTTGAGATGTGACACCACAAAACTATTTCCAAATGGGGGCTGGTTTCACTAGTGGCCCAGCTCTGAGCTTTGAGGGACAGAGGCTGCCCTCTTGGTTCCAGAGGCTCTGATCCATCTTCTTCTTCTCCTCCTCCTCCTCCTCCTCCTTCTTCTTCTTCTTTTTTTTTTAAGATTTTATTTATTTATTCATGATAGACATAGAGAGAGAGAGAGAGATAGGCATAGGGAGAAGCAGGCTCTGTGCTGGGAGCCTGACGCGGGACTCGACTTGATCGGGAGGACTGGATCCAGGACTCTAGGACCACGCCCTGGGCCAAAGGCAGGCACCGAACTGCTGAGCCACCCAGGGATCCCCCTCTGATCCATCTTCTTACCTGATTTCAGTAGGGAAGAGCTCCATGGTGTATAGGTAGAGACAAGTAAAACAGCCAGCCAGGCTCCCTTTTCCAAATAAACAGAGGATCATCTGAAAGGTATTCATGTCTGAGAGAAGGCAGTGGGGTGGGGGGTAGACAAAAGGGAGTTAATTACATATCAATGCAATCACCTATCCTCATATCTCAGTGTGTCAAGGACCTCTCTGCCTCAGGGCCTTTACACTTGTGGTTCTCACTCCTCAGAGTGCTCTTTCTTCTAATCCCATCTTCAGATCTCGATTCATTTTTTAATTTTTTTTAAAGGTTTTATTTATTTATTCATGAGAGACACAGAGAAGGAGAGAGGCAGAGACACAGGCAGAGGGAGAAGCAGGCTCCATGCAGGGAGCCCAATGTGGGACTCGATCCCGGGTCTCCAGGATCAGGCTTTGGGCTGAAGGCAGCGCTAAACCGCTGAGCCACCCGAGCTGCCCCTTCAGATGTCTGATTCAAATGCTATTCTGGCAAAGAGGACTTCCCTGACCCTGTTCGCTGTACCTAGCCCACCGTATATTCCCTGACTCCCTCCCTGGACATCTCCTATGGGGCACTGATCCCAACTACAATTGACACAATGAAGCCATTGGTTACTGTCTGTCTCCCTGAAGGTTTCTGTGCTCCATGAGCCAGGGTCTGGTCTGGGCCGCAGGAAAGCAAGTGCTCAAGAAATAGCTATGAATAACTAATAACTAAACAAAGTGGATATTTTCCAATGAGGACATGGGGAGTTAGGGAGTGAGGGACGCTGAGATTAGCCCTGTCCTGGGGATTCAGGGAGGTGATTGCCCTACGGACAGAGTGTTCTCATCAGTAAAATGACAGAAGGGACAATCTTCAACATACCTCGCACTTGCAGGGTTTTAGATTTCTGGGATTCCTATGACCACCTCAAGTTAGTATCCCTTGCTACTGGATCTCAGATGGCTGAATTTATATCTTTATAAACTTATCTATAGATGATAATTAAAGTTTATTCAATATTTACCATGAGCTGGGCACCGGGATAAGAACTTTTACATATGATCTTTAATTATTTTTATCATTATTATTTTTTTAAGATTTTATTTATTCATTCATGAGAGACACAGAGAGAGAGGCAGAGACACAGGCAGAGGGAGAAGTAGGCTCCATGCAGGGAGCCTGATGTGGGACTCGATCCCATGCTCCAGGATCATGCCCTGGGCTGAAGGCAGGCACTAAACTGCTGAGCCACCCAGGGATCCCAATCTTTTAGTATTTTTAAAAAACTATTTCAAACATATGGAAAACTATAGAGATTGATATAATAAAAACACCCATGAAACCATCTTATTGTTTTCTCCAATGTTAACACGCATTAGCTGTGTGACCTTGGACAAGTCACTCCACCTCTCTGAGCTTTATTTATTTATGCTTTAGTTATAAAAGCACTTCATGGAGTCCTCATGATAATTAGATGAGTTGGTACATGTGAAGTGCTAGCCCAGTGCTTGGCATGCAGTCAATACCAAATAAGGGCCTCTTTTTTTAAAAAAAAAATTATTTATGATAGTCACAGAGAGAGAGAGAGAGAGAGAGAGAGAGAGAGAGAGAGGCAGAGACACAGGGAGAGGGAGAAGCAGGCTCCATGCACCGGGAGCCTGACGTGGGACTCGATCCCGGATCTCCAGGATCGCGCCCTGGGCCAAAGGCAGGTGCCAAACCGCTGCGCCACCCAGGGATCCCCAAATAAGGGCCTCTTAATTATTCTACCTAAATAACCGTGAGGGTCAACAGAGGGTATGTGGGTCAACTTGTCTACAATCACAGGAAACCACTTGAAAGCAGGTTCATGCAGTTCTCTAGTCTTCTCTGAATCATCAAACCAGACCTGTACATCATACAGGTTGTACATCATATCAGAAGAGAATTTTCATGAGACCCAGAAGAAAACCTCACCTTGAGGAACAAATGTGGTGACAAGGATCATGCAACTGGCCAACAACAACAGGGAGACAACAGTGATTCGGCGGCCAAAGTAGCCCATACTCAGGCCTGCCAGCAGCTTTGTGGGGAAATCCATAACTGTAAACAGCATTTGTACCCAGTAGATGTTGAACCCAAATTTCTGCACATCTAAGGCCAGCCCATAGAAGGAAAAGCCTGCAGAAAACCTGGATGAAAGAAATTGCCAGAAATTACTTCATACCCTAGAGGTGGCCCACGGTTTGCCTTTCTTTCCAACGGAAGGAGTCTCTGTAAACTTTTTGGCTATGGATGGGATATGATCTTATTCTAGAACCAAATACTCTCAGGTTCTAGACTTTGTCAAGTGTTCCTATCTTCTCAGATTGCTTAGCCACGGTCTGTTGCCTGCATGTGTCTCTGTCTCAAGCCAGTGGGGCACCAGGGAATGACAACTCAGGAGCAGGTGTCAGGTGAATGACTTGGGGATCACTCTTTGGGGCCCACTCACCATCCCAGGGCAATACAGCAAGTAACTTTGCAGAGTCCTGGAGTGCGGAAGAGATCTAAGAAGAATGGAGACTCCTTCACAGCAGCTGTGTCCTCCTGCATGTGGAAGGTTACCACCTAGTAGGAAAAGACCAGAGTGGGGATGCCAGAAGAAAGGGCTCTGGCCCTTAGTCCTTACACTTTCTGATGCCATGCAGTTACTTGATTCTTCCCACATTGGCCAATTCCTAAACACATTTTCAAGGAGAAATAGAGGACTTCAAATTTGTGGTGTGTATTCTCTTATACTAGCAACTTCTCCTTTTACTTTATTTTATTTATTTTATTATTTATTTGTTTGTTTGTTTGTTTATTTATTTATTTATTTGTGATAGACACAGAGAGAGAGAGGCAGAGACACAGGAGGAGGGAGAAGCAGGCTCCATGCCAGGAGCCCAATGCGGGACTCAATCCCGGGACTCCAGGATCGCACCCTGGGCCAAAGGCAGGCACTAAACCGCTGAGCCACCCAGGGATCCCCACAACTTCTCCTTTTAACTAGGTTTTCTTGAGGATCAAAGATGACCATCATTTATTGAGCACTTGTTATGTGCCAGATGGAGGTCTATGTACTTGATGTGAACTAACTTATTTAATGTAAGGGAGATTCCCTTATCCTTTAAAATTTTTTTAAATTTATTTTTATTTATTTGAGATAGAATGAGTGGGGCAGGAAGGAGCAGAGGGTGAGGGAAATCCTGAGGGGAGCTCGATGTAGGGCTCAATACTAGGACCCTGGGACCATGACCCAAGCTGAAGACAGATGCCCAACTGACTGGGCCACCCAGGTGCCCCTCTATAATCCTTTTTACAGATGAGGAAACTGAAGCTCAGAAGGTTAAATAATTTGTCCAGGATCATAGAGCTATTAAGTGAAGAGTTGGGAATCAAACTCAGGTGAATGGCCCCAAGTCTGAGATCCTAGCCATTGTTATTTTGCTTCTTCATATTCATAGTTAGAAAGGTCCCTGCCGGGACGCCTGGGTGGCTCAGCGGTTGGGCGTCTGCCTTCGGCCCAGGGCATGATCCTGGAGACCCAGGATCAAGTCCCACATAGGGCTTCCCGCAAGGAGCCTGCTTCTCCCTCTGCCTCTGCCTATGTCTCTGCCTCTCTTTCTGTGTGTCTCTCGTGAATAAATAAATAAAATCTTAAAAAAAAAAAAAAGTCCCTGCCATGCCTGGGTGGCTCAGCGGTTGAGCGTTTGCCTTCAGCTCAGGGCATGATCCCGGGGTCTAGGATCAAGTATCGTGCATCAAGCTCCTTGCAGGGAGCCTGCTTCTCTCTCTGCCTATGTCTCTGCCTCTCTCTCTCTCTCTCTGTGTTTTGGGAATAAATAAATAAAATATTTTTTTAAAAAAAGAAAGAAAAGTCCCTGCCTCCTCTTTCTGTAGTACCTCTCCCAATTCCCACTCTCCAGAAGCAACTGCCCTCTACTCTTCTAGGTGTTTCTTCTCATATTTATCTCATATTTCCAAATAAAATGCTACACTGCTATGGCTTGATTTTCCAACTTTAGATTGATTTATACTAAGAAAGAATGAGGATTTAACCCTCTTACTCTACCATCTCCGACCTATACCTCCCCTTCTGTCATTCTCCCAATGTGAATCTCATTCAGAGTTGAACCATGTAGCATACTCCTATTATATTTCCTTCCATGACCTGACCTTTTATTTTCCTGGAGTTAGTAACTGCCTCTTTTGTGTATTTGCTTGCTTAAATTCTGGGTTTCTTAAGTACCTGGCACTAATTTATCCCCAAATTCTTTGATAGAACCATAAACTCCTGTTAATAAGATTAAATATAACAAGCAATCTATTAGCATCAATTTTTTTCTTCAGGAAAGGCCATCAGTACATGTCTATCCTTTTGCTTCAGTGCAGACTGACTGTTCTCTAGGTTTTCTTTTTTTAAAGATTTTATTTATTTATTTATTCATGAGAATACACAGAGAGGAGAGGGAGAGAGAGAGGCAGAGGGAGAAGCAGGCTCCATACAGGGAGCCCAACATGGGCCTCGATCCTGGGTCTCCACGATCACGCCCTGGGCTGAAGGCTGCGCTAAACCGCTGAGCCACCTGGGCTGCCCTATTCTCTAGGTTTTCTGTACGACTTTTCCCCTTCTTCTTTACCTTTCTCCTATTTTGGATCTTCTATTTCCTGGATTCCTAGGTTCACATTCTTGTTTTGGTGGAATGTACCTGGTGGTAGCTTCTGAGAAAGGGTGTAACAGGACATCTTTGCCACAGGTCCTCTGGTTATCTGATGGTGAGAGCTACTACTTCTGGATGTAGAAACTTACCTCTTTGTTCACCCTTGGCAGGCCAACTTAAGCCCTCAGTGAGAATTATCACCAGGTCAGGAGGAAGGATTCGGGTAGTATGTGGGTTTTCTTTGTGCATACCTCTGGAGTGAGTTTCCTCCCCTGCTCCTTTCTGCCATTTAATCTTGCCACAGCCTGCAGATTTTTCACAGCCATGTCAAGTTTGTTGTGGGTCACGAGCCAGCAAGCCGATTCTGGCAGGCCCCTAATAGTGAGAGGGAAGGGGGTGAGGGAGGGAGAGGTCTGGAAGCATGATCAGACAAGGGCAGAACCTCCTGCCCCTGCAACCCTGACCAGCTGGAGGTGCCAAGGGGTCTCCACCCACAGTACACACACAGGGACTGGGCTCACTGCCCCAACCACCACCATGTATCAAGGCTGGCCCACTTGAAAACAGGGAGATCTGAGAAAGTCCAAATAAACAAAATGGGAATAAGGAGGAATAGGAGAGCAATTATTAATTGGCTGGTGAGCCCTGGTTAATGGGCTGGTGGTTGTTTCTCTCATTTCCTTTTTTGTCATATCACACGACACAAATGCAGGCATGTATGGGTTTTTTTTTTTTTTTTTGCAAAACTGTCGCCAAGTTGTACACGTCTTCTGCCACCTGCATTTCTCATTTAATTCTTTACTCTCAATATCTCTCATGGCACTAACATGGATCCTCATTGTCATTTTTATGGGAGTTCCCACTTTCATTGTGGCTCTGGATTTTTATGGTAAATCTCTTCTCGGCTGAGTGGAGTGGCCAAAAATCTTCAAGTCTGACCCTATGAGGCATTTCAGGGACCCAAGTGAGTTTGGGGCACATAAAGGGCCTCATAGTCACTCAAGACTGAATTTGGTATGGGGTGAAGTGTGCAGCCACTTAGAACTCTAAATGGCATAGACTTTTCACCAAGGATGATATGGAGGGAAAAAAATCAAATGGAGACACCTTGTATACCAAGGGTCCCTTCTTCTCTCCTTAAGGAGGTCAGATCTCAGCAGGCCCAAGCCAAAGTAAGCTCTGAGGTCGGTCAGCAAACACTCCTCATGAAGACAGACCAGACCAGGCAACTCTGTACAGTATATTGTGTATCGAGAGCTGACGTACCAAGAATACAGAAGAATAATCACGTAGGTGACAGATACTGTGCCCTGTAGCCAGCGCCATTGCCGGATGAAGTAGGCCAGGCCGGAGAGGATCACCTGGCCCAGTGTGATCATATACATAGCGTAGGTATTGACCAGCGTCCGCCTCTGCGTCGGGGTCCACTCCATGGCTAGGGATGACAAGTCCAGCATTGCTGGTCATCAGCTCCACAGGGTCAGGGCAAGAGGTCAGCCCAGGTCGGTCAGTGACAGAGATCCCAGGCAATACCCTTGCAGAACTTTACCCTGCTGAACCCGGTTGATGGGTGGGCTCTGCCCCTGCACTGGTCCTTCCTTCTGCCCAGTGCCACCCAGGACACACAGTCCCAAGCACCTTCGGCCATCTCATTCGATCTTCATCACCCCACTATGCAGGAGCATCTGTGATGATCCCCACCTTACAAGCAAGGAATATGTCACTGGAGTTGGGAATTTGAGCCTGGGGCGCGTAAGCCACCACCAAACAGCAAAAACTTCTTGAGGACTTTCTGGGTGCCAGATATTAGTCTATAAATACACATGAGATGATGAAGGTGCTATCATTATCACCCCGTTTTACAGATGGGGAAACTGAGGCCCAGGCAGGTTAACTGGTGCCTCCCCACCCGACCCCGGTGGCACAGCTGTTGGAAGGGCCAGGGCTGCGCAGGTGTACTCACTGAGGCAGAGGCTGGCCACGATGATGCCGGTCATCGCCATCCCGCTGAGGAACCTGAAGGCGCAGTAGGCGGGGAAGCCGGGCGCGCAGGCGGCGCCCAGGCCCACAGCGATCATCAGCACTGTCGCGCTCTGCAGCACCCTCTTGCGCCCGTACCTGCCACCGAGACGGAGTTGCCAGGCTGAGCCTGGGGCAGCTGCAAAGGGGACTAGTGACCGCTCTGCTCAGGCCTTTTGCTCCAGTCTGTCCTGTCCACCTGTCAGTCCCCTATTTCACTGCATCCTTAGAAAAAAGGGCTTTGGAAGCCGCCTTCACATGTGATTGACGGGCCTTGGAGGGGACCACGACCTCTTCTGGACACCCTCCCACTTGAAGAAAAAGGCCTTGGGGAGGAACTCCCTCCTTCCTTGCTTTCACAGGGAGGTGCAGGGCCTCGAATGTTCCAGATGAACCTTGACCTGACGCTCATTCTCTTTTGCATCCTCTCAGACCCGTGTGTGCCAGGCAGGAGCCGATGCCGAGGACTCCCTTGCCCCTTCCCATGAGACCCCCCTACCGCTCGCTGGCCACAGCCCGGGCCTGGTGTCACCGTACTACGAAGGGCTGTGCTCAGATGCCAGTGCCAGGCTTGCTCCAGGCCTGCCTGTGGAGCTTCCAGTCCACTTGGGAGAAATCAGACAGTAAGATCAACAGGCCACAGAACAAACTAAAGCAGAGCAGGGGACCAGGAAATGTCAGAGGGTCGGCAGTTGTAAATAGGGTGGCAGGAGAAGCCTCCTCTGGGAACATGACACAAGTGCCATGAACATAGTGCTGAGGTGTGCTGGGGGCTCCTTCCGCATCATCTCAGGTCAATGTCATTATTATCCCCAATATACAGATAAGAAAACAGAGGCTCAAGCTTAAATGACTTGCCCCATCCCTCAGCCAATGAGAAATCCACACCACTGTTGATTTGAGGCTGTGAGAAGTGACCCGAAGGGGTGTCCTGGAAATAGTGCCCCTGGTGGGGAGAACAAGCAGTGCAAAGACAGGAGGAAGAAGCAGAGGGTTGGGTTCACTGCAGTGGCTCAGGGGCTGGTCCAGGGAGCCCCAGCAGGCCACACACTCCGTTAGGCTTCCCTGGCCAGGAACTGGAGAGCTGGTGAAAGCTTGAGCAGAGGAGGGCTAGGATCTGTTCTGTATCTAACAAGATTGCTCTTCCCACTGATCTGAGAGTAACAGAAGGGCTCATGGATAGGAAGAAGCAGGGAGGCTCCTTCAAAGGCTGTTTCCGCCAGCCAGGTACAAGATGAATAAGGCTGCTCCCAGAGTGGCAGCCAAGGGGGTGGTGAGAGGAGGAGGTGGGTCCTGGTCTATGATGATGATGGAGCCGACATGGTCTGCTGGTGTGATGGAGAGGAGGGAAGTGGTGGAGGAGGTGGGAGGCAAGGGAGGGGTGGTCAAGGGGGTGTCTCAAAAGGGAGCAGGCAAGGGCAGCCCGGGTGGCTCAGCAGTTTACCGCTGCCTTCGGCCCAGGGCCTAATCCTGGAGATCTGGGATTGAGTCCCGCATCGGGGTCTCTGCAGGGAGCCTGCTTCTCCCTCTGCCTGTGTCTCTGTCTCTCTCTCTGTGTCTCTTATGAATAAATAAATAAAATCTAAAAAAAAAAAAAAAAGGGAAGCAGGCAAGCAGTGGGGAAGTGGTGGGTTTACATACTCTCGACATCATTCCACTCCCTACCTGGGCTCTTTCCAGAGGTGGATGCTACAGACCTAGGGTTCTACCTCAGACACCCTGCAGCTCTCAGCTTTCGGAATACAAGATACTAGTTGGCCAGGCTGCAGGCCCCTACTTACTAGGGACTGGCATTGAAAGCAAGAGCTCCCTGCAGGCCTCATGGAGGTGACTTAATTCCCTCTTTTCACCTCTGGGTAGGGTGCAGGTGAGGACAGAGTCTGGGGCCCTCCAGGTGGCCTCCTTTCTGATGAGCAAAGCGCTGGCTTTACCAGTCCCTCCTGCCCAGAGCTTATGGCTGGGCATCTCAGCACAGGGGCCAGAGGCTGTGTGTTCTTGGAGCCCAGCAAAGGGAGACAGGAGTGACTGGGGCCACTAGGTGACTGAGAGAGCCCCTCAATTGTACAGAAATGATCCCCAGAGCTAAGTGAATTTTCTAAGGTTTCATAGAGGGCAGAGGCCAGATCCTACTGATGTTGTCCACTGAAATGCTCTTTCTGCTGCACTGGGGGAGATGCATCCAACAGGGTGGCAAAACTAGAAGATACTGTACCCAGGGCTGGCTTTCAGAAGACATTGTACCTTGGCCTGTTCAGCTTTAACCAGGATTATCTGTCTAGATAGAGCTGATGGAAGACAGAGCTTCTTCCTCATGGCATCATCATCACTTCCAAGAACATTGACTAAATGTCCATGCTGGAATCTGTTTTCTCTAGGACCAGTGGTGCTAAGCCTCCTCTCATCTATAAAATGTGAGCAGCTACACAGGGCTGTTGAGAGGACGTGGGAGAGCGCTCAGCGGAATTAGCTTTCCACCACACTACTGGTCATCACAGGGACTCCCGCTTCCTGGGGAGGTGACAGGTGGAGGCGGCCCTGCAGGTGAGGTCATGCATTGGCCAACTGAGGCCACAGCTGCTTTCTCAGCACTCACAGGATGAAGGCGTTCTGGCACGTGACTCAACATTCATCAACAAGCAGGAAGTACTTCGACATTAACGATTGCAATTCATTTCAGAACAGAAAAAGAGGTGCCATCACCTCTGCCACATCAGATGCATGCCCAGAGGACTGTCTCCTAGGAAAGTGGGGTGTCCAGGGCCTGGGCAGGGAGGGGTGAGCGCTCCACCTTGGCTCCTCTGTTTGAGGTATCAAGTGTGGCCCTGGCTGTCTGGCAGAGAGGAAGAGATGGGAGGGTCTTCTCAAGTGGGATCTTGAGCCTTCGAGGACACTGTGGGGACAGCGTGAATGCTAGCCTTGTTGGAAGATTCTGGAGACTACCTCGGGCCTCCTCCCCTCACCTGTCAGAGAAGATGCCAAAGGTAATAGCTCCCACCAGCTGTCCCGTCATGTATATGGACTGAGCAATGGACTTCAGTGACTTGTGCTCGCACACCAGGTCCCACTGGAGGAAAAGAGAAGTGTCAACAGGTGGCTAGTGCACCCTCACCCTGCGGCTTCCATAGAATATCAAGAGCTGCTTCATCACCTCTTATACACTAATTGACCGTCCTATAGCTTGTCCTGAAGCACATAATGCTGCCATCATGAGCACTGGTCCTTTTATTTTAAATGGCACAGACCTTTATATCAATGTCACAGTGATGAATTAAGCACATTATCTCAGGTGTTATATAAAACACAGAGTCCCAAGTCTTAGGAAACCTCTACCCTAAAAGAAAGATGACCAACATGAATCTAGACCCAGTTCACTTGAAATGCTTCATTTTTCCCCCTTCTTTTTGTTCTCATTTCATTCAGGGGTCTGAGAAATTGGGTGGGGAGAAAATGGATGTCATGTCAATTTTCTGACTGCTTTGCAAATAGCTAAGCGAAGGCAAAAAAATGATCAGACCACGTATCAGCAGGGAGACAAATCAATCAAACATATCTGAACATCTTACACACACAGAAAATTATTTGGCAGAACTTGGGGCCCCTCTATGATCCTACAACCCCACCTCTGGGCATACATCCAGCAGAAACGAATATCTGTGTCCACCCCCAATACAAGTACAAGAATGCTCCTAACCATGATATTCATAATAGCCCCAAACTGGACACCATTGCAGGTGCATTTCAGTGGTAGAACAGACATGCACTCTGCGGTATATTTGTACAATGGAATGCTCCACAGCCCTGAGAAAGAACCAACTCCCGAGGCATGTATCAACATGGATGACTCTTAAAAATCTATATTGAATGAAAAAAATCCTAACACACTAAAGAGCACATACTCTTTGATTCCATTCATGTGAAATTCAAGCATAAGCAGAGCCAAGTGATAGTGATGGAGGTCTGAATGGTGGTTATGGGGCGGGGGCAGTAGTGATACAGAAGGCTACAAGGGAGCCTTCTGGGGTCCTAGAAATAATCTGTATCTTGATCTAGCGTATATGTATCCAGCTGTATATCTAAATTTTAAGCATTTAATGGAATGAGTTATGTCTCCATTAAAATAAAACAAACAAAACATCTGAAGACTCAGCATTCAGCTGTAGTTTTACCTCACCTCAGAAACGATGGAGGAGTCAACACTTTGGTCATACACCCACCCATCCAGGCAGCCCTCGGTGTCCAAGTTCAAAGACGAAGTGCCATTGAGGTTTAAGATCTGCCAGTGAGGCTCGGAGAACCTCAGGCAACGCTCAGGCTTCTGGTCCTTGTCCAGTGGGATGAAGACTCTTAGCAAATCCCCATCTCGGACACCACCTGGGACCTGAGACCCGTTGGTCCAGTTGACCGGCCGGCAGTGATGCTCTGGGGTCATGGCTGTGAAGTTCTGCAGGAAGTTGTGACAAGTGATCAGGATGGCAGGGAACATAATGAGAGCAGTTTGGAGGATTTGGAAGTTCCCCATGCCGCCAATGGTGTGCAGCAACTCTGAGAATCCCATCGTGCTCTCTCCACTGCACCTGTTCACCGAAGCTCCTCCACATACACACGCACACACGCACACACACACACACAATCATGGTCTATTTTATATACTCACTCATCTTCTTGTTCTAGTGGGAAAAGCTCTTGGGAAAGAGCTTCTGGGCATTTGTCCAGCGCTATGATACAATCACATCTTATTTGCTCTCCATCAGGAAATAAGATGTTTCTACGTAAGGATATTTCTTCAAGGAATAAACTTTTCATGTGATCATTTAAATGGAAGCCTTCCAGAGGAGTTCCTTGCGTCTTCATTGTGTAAGTCCATGGTCAATATTTATTGAAGACCTGCAGACCGGTTTTCCCTCACAGCTTATGGGCATCATTACAGCTGTGTGTGTAGCAACTGAAAGTGACACATCCTCTGAGTTAGGCTTAGTGAAGATGAGAGGCAGAACCGTAGGCCATAGTCAGACTCACACATGAGACAGCCCCAGGCCAAGATCAAGGCCTGACTGATTTAGCTGGTAAAGACATAAGTCACTTTCAGATTTCAGGTCTGTTACTCACCTAGGCAGCGGGAAGGCGCATAAGCCAAAGGTGCCAACAACCTGAGATTCTTGTCCTTGGTGCCAAAAAGGACAATCTTGAAACCAAAGAGGTCAGGGGATTGCAAGGTGAGTTGTGGGGTGCTCTGCAGCCGAGAAACCTGTTTCAGACCTCAGTTGAGTGCCTTTATATCCTGTAGCTCTCTCCTGAGGAGGGCGATCAGAGGCCTCAGACCACATCAGAACATGGAGGTGACCAGAAAGTCTCATGATGTTTCAGGGTAAACAGGTGGGTGAGGGGCAGATGGCCTCATAGTAGCTCCCATAGTCCTCCTACCTTCTGATGTCCTGGAGGACTATAGCTTCCTGCTCAGAATTAGATGAGCTGTGGTTCAAGCCTCTGCCTACATGGCCTGTGTGGACATGGGTGGGTTCACCACGGCGCCATGGCCAACACATTCCCCGAACTTTCACATGCAGCTGAGGCCACACCATCAGATACTGAAATTAATTGTACTGATAAGGGCTTGAATCAAGTATTTTTTTAATTGTTAAAATTGTGAAAAAATACACATAAAATTTGCCCTCTTAACCGGTTTAAGTGCCAGGTTCAGTGGCATTAAATACATTCATGGGGTGCCTGGGTGGCTCAGTGGTTCAGCACTTGCCTTTGGCTCAAGGTGGGATTCTGGGGTCCTGGGATCAAGTCCTGCATCGGGTTCCCTGCAGGGAGCCTGTTTCTCCCTCTGCCTATGTCTCTGCCTCTCTTTGTGTGTCTCTCATGAATAAATTAATACAATTTTTTTTAAGTACTGCATTATAAGTCTTACCACATTTTGTTTATCCAGTCATCTATCAATGGACACGTGCTTTACTTCCACATTTTAGTTCTTGTGAAACTGCTGCTAATAACCATGGTTGTACAAATATCTCTTGGATGTCCTCCTTTCTATTCTTTGGGAGTATATACCCAGAAGTGGCATTGTTGGATCATTATGTAATTCCATTTTTAATGTTTGGAGGAACCACCATACCACTTTCCACGATGGCCGAACCATTTTACATTCCCACCAGTAGTTCACAAATGCTGCAATTCCTACACATCCTCGCTGACACCTGTTATTTTGTTTTGTTGGTAATAGCCATCAAATGCGTGTCAGGTGGTATCTTTTTTTTTTAAGATTTTATTTATTCATGACGGACAACCACTGAGCCTCCCAGGTGCCCCACGTAAGGTAGTATCTTTTTTTTTTTAATTTATTTATTCATGACAGACACACACACACACAGAGGCAGAGACACAGGCAGAGGGAGAAGCAGGTTCCATGCAGGGAGCCCAACGTGGGATTCGACCCTGGGTCTCCAGGATCACACCCTGGGCTGAAGGCGGTGCTAAATCACTGAGCCACTCGGGCTGGCGGTCAGGTAGTATCTTAAAATTTTTTTTTAATTTTTATTTATTTCTGATAGTCACAGAGAGAGAGAGAGAGACGCAGAGACACAGGCAGAGGGAGAAGCAGGCTCCATGCACCGGGAGCCCGACGTGGGATTCGATCCCGGGGCCTCCAGGATCGCGCCCTGGGCCAAAGGCAGGCGCCAAACCGCTGCGCCACCCAGAGATCCCAGTCAGGTAGTATCTTAATGCAGTTTCCATATGCATTTCCCTAATGACCAGTGATGTTGAGCATCTTTTCATGTGCTTGTTTATTGGCTGTTGTCTGTCTTTGGAAAATGTCTATTCAAGTCCTTTGCCTATTTTTGGATTGTGTTAACTTGGTTAGGGGGTTTAGGTGTCCTCTATATATTCTGGATATCCATCCATTCTCACATATATGAATTGCAAATATTTTTTCTCATTCTATGAATTACCGTGGACCAACTCCCCTTCCCTTGCCTTAGAAACCATCAGACTAGAGTGATGGTTGTGCTAGCTGCCCCTCTGTGGGCTGCCCAGGCTACACAGCCCAGCCCCTATCAGAGGACAAGCCAGCAACATGTCATGGAATAAATAATGCAGTGAGAGGCAGCCACATACCTCACCTTAACAGGCCCACAGGAAGTACAGAGCAATGTGATTGTCCATTGCCATCTGTGCTGGAGAGTTTAGAGCAACCAATTTCTAAGAAACAAAAACCCATCCAACAATAACAAGAGGAAAGTAAACGGACCGAGCCAGTGTTCGGAAAGTTAATCTTGTTCTGTCCTCTTGAGTGGAGGCTGCTCCCTCCTGGATTCGGTAGTTGTTGGCAGGTGTCTGATTAAGACTCTTTATTAGGGGCACCTGGTGACTCAGTGGGTTGAGCATCTGACTCTTGATTTCAGGTTCAGATCATGATCTCAGGGTCATGGGATTGAGCCCTTCATCTCCGGGCTCTGTGCGGGGCGTGAAGCCTGCTTAAGATTCTCTCTCTCCCTCTCCCTCTGCCAAAGACTCCTTATTTGTCAGTGGTCAAGTTGAGGGTGGCAGCGAATATCTGGGTCAAACTGGCCAGATATCCCATGAACAAGAGCTGAGAGAAAGCAATTAGCATCCCTACCTGTGCCCTGACTTCCCACATATAAGATGCTCCCTTCCTTCCACAGCCCTGCCACCCCCATGCCTGGTCCCTCAACAATCACTTTCCCCCTTCCAGTCTTCTTCATGTCTTACCTGCATCATTTCCCCAGGCTTGTCTCCAGGGGACTGAACAGTTTTTTCCTTATGTCCTTTGTATTATCCTAAATCATTTCCCACCATCTGCCTCGTGGGCCATCCCTGGTCACCTTAGGAGTCTACACTTCTTACTCATGATCATTAGCATCAATATTGACATTACTGATGGCTCAAACCGGCGAGCATAGTGGCTGCAAAAGAAGCACAGGCCAGAGTCCCCCACCCCAGCCTCTTTTTTGCTACTTGCAATTCTTGTAGCCTCTGTGCCCAGGGGTAGGTAGACATGGGAAGGGAAAACTAGAAGGTGGGAGGTTCATCATGTGGTTTGGCCTCTTAGAGCCAGTCTGGGCCTCCTCACCTCTCCCCAGCTTCACAACCAAGAGCTCTAGGAAAGCTAGGGACTTCTTTAAGGGGAATCACTGAATTTAGAGCAGTGTTTGCTGCACTGGGCACTGAGCTCCAGACATCCAATTGTCTTTTTCAGTTTATCTTTTAAAGTCCACCTTTTGGGACTGGGTGGCTCAGTGGTTGAGCATATGCCTTCAGCTCAAGTCATGATCCCGGGGTTCCTGAATGGAATCCCACATCGGGCTCCCCATGGAGGGCCTGCTTCTCCCTCTGCCTATGTCTCTGTTTCTATCTCCCTGTCTCTCATGAATAAATAAATAAAATCTTAAAAAAAAACCCTTTTGGGGTTACCTGCTGCTTGGCAACTCATGCTAGATCAGCATGTTGATCCCATTCATGTGGCACATGGGTCATGGAGACAGTGACATCTTTCAGTCCTCCCACTGCCAGGCACCTGACCACAATGCCCGTAGGTCAGTGAAAATGTAACCAGGTGTGTGCTGTGGGAGCTGTTTTCCAGGGTGAGCACCACAGCCCACCACTCTGCCCAGTGAGTCGAGTTCCTCTTCCCTGTATGGTTGTCAGCAGCAGTGGCTGGGACCCTGCCAGCCCTTACCTTACTTAGCTGATCGGCCCTCAGCAGACCTTCCTGATCTTGCCCTGCCCAGGGAATCCTTGATATTTGGATCCTGGGCACCTCGCAAGGCATCTCCCTGTGGCCACAGCTTAGAGATGCCCAGAAGACTGTTGTCAAAGTCTCTTAAAAACTATTGCCCTGACTGGTCAATGCCTTAGGAGGTAAAGGTAGAGAAGTCTGGAGGCTATTTGCCTGCTACTGTAAAGATTATTAGAGGGGTCAGCAGGCACATGAAGGAGGCCTGTTTAAATAGTTCACTCTTGAGGTGCCTGAGTGGCTCAGCCCGTTAAGCGGCTGCCTTTGGCTCAGATCATGATCCTGGGGTTCTGGGATGGAGCCTCGAATTGGGTTCCCTGCTCAGCAAAGAGTCTGCTTCTCCCTCTTCCTCTGTTCATACTCTTTCTCTCTTTCTGCCAAAAAGATAAGTAAAATCTTAAAAATAATAAAGAGTGAATTCTTGTATCATCATCAGAATTTGCCTTCACTTAGTTTCTGACCAGTATTTGGTTTTATGCCATGGGCTGTGACCTTTAATCTTCTGATTATTCTTATTTTTTATAGGAAACTTCCTTGTCGAGATGTTTGTTAGAGAAAATCAGGTCTATTCACTTAAAGATATGTATTGCCTTTGTCCTGCCCAATTCATGGTAACTACCAACTAGGTGTTCAGAGTATGTCCATAATTAACCCTAGCACCTGAGTTAGGTAACATACATTTTCTTGCTGGTTAGGAAAACTATTTCCAGACCAGTGGTCTCAACCCGAAATAATGACATTGGTGTCCCTGGGAGTGGGCCCTATGTAGCACTGCTATTTTTTAAAAAGCACACAAGTCATTCCAGGATTGAGAAT